TAGTACTGCAGCCTGGAAACACAATTCAAAAGTTTGAACTCCCAGTAAAGCAATCTGGGAAGGAAATATTGAACAGAAACATCTACGAATGGTTCACCTGATATGTCCCAACAATCAGCTCTATAGTTTTTTGCTCAAACTTTCCATTCATGTTGCAAGTTCCCAAAGAATAAATCCATGTGAGTTTCCTATGTTTCGTTTTGGTTTGATAAAACTCCTTGAAAACCTCAACACACTTCACCTGAAATAAAAAATTATTCCAGGAAAAGTAAATTCATAAATTAAGTGTATCAAATATAATTTTCAATTCCGTAAAATATAATTAGAAAAATGGATCCCACCATCTCTGCGGGGAGGCTCAGATCAGAAGATTTATAACTAGGCCAGAATCCAGTTGTGAGAACAGTGACAGTCAACTCCATCCCAGGATTAGCAGCTTGATTGTTGCTAAGATATTCCTGGAAGTGGGTCTGATTTTCCTTTGCCAATGTCAAATCAGTTACCTAGACGAAGAAACAATAGATATGATAAATATTGTAATTCACAAGCACAAACAAAGAGAAAATAAAAGTAATAGTGATGTTCAACTAACCATTCCCTCCATCTTGGATGTAAATTGCCCACCACATTGTTGTTTTAGCTTCGTTAAAATAAGTCTTTCATGGTCATCATTGGCACTTTTGTCAAAAAGCAGCCGACGAGAGAGCTTCTTTCTATCAAAAATTGATGTGAGCAACGTTAATATTCAGTATCACTAAGAAAATACAACACACTATAAAATGACAAATGATGCAAAGAAAACAAATCCATGGAGAACAAAGTGTCACCTATAAAAGTCAGCGAAAAGGTCCTTATCACTGATGTAGGCAAGGAGCTTGACTACCTGCAAATACTCGAGAACCGTTTTAAGAGATCCAAATTTGCCAAAGTGAAACATCAGATCAACATGACAAAAGATTACCTTGTCCAGAGTTTCCTCAATTGCTTCATCACTGAGCTTTTCATTTCCCCCCTTCTTCAAAATATTATCACAGTATGATGCCAAAAGCTCTGCACTAGAGAAGCCAGCAACAACTTTGTTGCAAAAAACTTCAAAAGCCTCCTTCAGAGCCTATAACGATTTGTAAACACCGAAATTTATAATTTATCCATCAGTAACATAAGATCCTGAATTAATAGACAACATAGACCCAACTCATACCTTGTGAAACAGGGAGTTGTTGGAAAAACAATCTGTAACGTATGCAAAGTACTTGTCATGCAAGTCGATTACTTTCTTGACAAATGCCTGGATAAGTTAACAAAAGTCAAACCTTCAAGCCACCCTGAGCACTCATCTCAATGAACATATCATAAAAAATGTAATTCACCTGCTCCTGTGCTCCACTAGTGTTCTCCGCCTACAGAAATGCAGGAAGAGGTATTAGTACTTCCAAATGCAATGACGACACAATGTGCTTGCGAGGAAGTACATAAATCACTCTCAACACAAATGGGGTTGCAAGATAGATATCAGTAAGTTTCATATATGGAAATTGCAAACTATTTGTATTTTATTCCTTCTACCCCCGGAGAAAGAAATACAAGAATATTCAACAAATAAAATAAAAGATAGGAGAACGAGAATTTGGTCACATATGGTGAGGTCAAGATAATACAACGATTTCCAGTTTGACCATTGGTTTTCCTCTAAAGATGATCTTCCTCCAAAATGTAAGGATTATTGAGTTTATAGCATTTGTTCTTGGTTGCGGTGATCGTACATGTGCTATTACTTTAACGAAAGATACTGACTAACAAAATGCAACCCCAAGAACATTTTCTAGTATTTGCTAACCAAAAATCATAAACTAATATTTTCAAATACTATTAAATAATTACAAGACATACTGTTACATTCATAAAGGATTGTTATTGATGTAAAATTAGAATATTCAAATTAGAGGCAAAAAAAATAAAAAATAAAAAAAATTGAAAGACTGACCTTGTTACTCGCTACATCTTCCGCATGTTGGACCAAAATCATACCTTCAGAAATGACATGCTGCTCCATGCAACCACAGAACGTACTCATGTTAGAAAAGTCAAAAGACCTCACGTTATCAAAAAATATTATAGGGACAAGGACCTGTTTAAACATGTTGGCAACGGGTTCCAATCCTTTCGGAACCTTGTGGAAGAGCCTGTACATCCTGGAGAGATCCTCCACCTGATACCCCATACAGAATCCAAAGGGTGGCATAAATGTAAGATATTCCTTATTGCCTAGTGTCGATATAATTTCAATTAATGGAACAAAGTAACAGTACCTTATCATCTCTTAGCAATGCATGGCATCCAGAATGCTCCTTCTCCAACAAATCATTGGTATATACCACCAACAATTCATTTTGCACTTTCTACAATAGAAAATAGGGACCGTAAGCATAAGCATGAGTAGCTCGCACATAGAGGATTTAAGAAAATTTAATGACAACCAAGGTTTAAGCCATGTCGTCTCTAGCAATGTCTGCATCACAATGTTAGAATGTGGTGCAGGGACATATTGCTAACTCTTTAATAACTTTAAATCAAAGTTCTAATACCAAGGCACCAAGCAAGCATGAGATACAAAACCAAATGAATATAATAAGATAGACCTAATAAAAATACGGGTATCTGCTGTATATAATAACAAGTTCTTTCCATAATAATATCAAAGCACATTTAACATGCAATTTATGCCGGACTGAAATTAAAGCATAAATAGTAATTTATAGTCAAACCTCCAAAAGCTTTGTCTCACTGCTGGAATGTAGATAATGAGATACTCGGTCCTTCTCCTTCTTCAAGCAGTCCTCTGCCTATAGACAAAGCAGATGTTAAATGAACAACAAATTACTATTTATGCCGCAATGTAGTAAGAGAATCTGCACGTAATATTGCCTTCATCATGTAATCAGGACAAGAATCTTCCACAATCCAGTTTGATGCTTTTCTTGAATAAAATGCAGCAGTATCTTGAAGCATGACAACTTCAAAGTCATTTTCATAGTAATCCATCTGCCCCATTCCGATTTCGACAAATATATCCAAAATATTCTTCAACAAAGCTCTGTCAATCTGCTCTCCCTCACGTTCTTGATCAATCTGTTATGAGATACGGCAGTTATATAATCTGAACTTCAACATCAAATACAAAAGATAATGCACATCAACAATTAAAGGTCCTTACCAGAGTAATAACGGCATCTCTAGCATTACTTCTCAATTCTTGGTAAACCTAGCAGCAGTAAAGGAAACTATAAATGAAAAGTGGTAGTTTCAGGTAAAAACTAAAATGAAGATAAAAATTGTCCAAACATAAACAATACACCCACCAGAATAAATGTTGCTTGGTGAGTATGGAAACAAAAGGGACGCAAATAGGAGTAAACTGTAACTAACCAGATCGCGGAAGCAGGTTAGCCCAACTTCTTTGAGTGCAGGGAGTGACCTCCGAGCAATAAAATATCGATCAAGATAGTGAAAGAAACGTGTAAGCCACCTGACCATGACTTTATGATCCAACCATCTTTTCACAAGTTCCCTCAGCATGAATTCATCATGTTTTCCTCTCAAAGATGTCAGAACCTATACAAAAGACAACGACAGCAT